TTGAGCAGTGAGGAATCTTTATCGTGCCAACGCCTGCCGCTTACACGGGGCCTCGGTTTTTAAGGTCTCATTCGAAGGACCCGCAACTTTCACTTCAAAGTGCCGAGTGCATGGCGAAGGAAAATTTGCTACCAATTTTAACGACTTGGTCAGTCGTTATGATACGAACTCACAACCTCTCGATCACGAAGCGAGCGCTCTACCGACTGAGCTACCGTGAAGGGTTTTACAGGCTTTGTCATTACGGTATGTCTTTAAGCTTCAGGCCAGGAAATTAAGACTTTTCAACTGAGTTTGAGAAATGCATGGACACATATGATAGTAAATATGATAATTAGATGTAATTGAATAATTCTAATTCTATCTCTTTAACTAAATCTAATTTCCTACTTTCTTGATGAAATCATAATTTTTACATTTTCAATATGAATATTTTTTTTAACAAGAATCAGGCCATTGATAATTTCCTTTTTCAAAAAAAAAAAATCTTCCTAAATTTATAATCATTGACAATTTCCTTTTCAAATATAAATTGCTTCCAAAATTGATAATCGAAAAAGAATTAGTTAATTAGGAATTTCCTCGAAAATTTAATTTTGCTCAATGTTTTGCATCTTCCTCGTAAAAATGTATCTTATAGATAGTTTTGCCTTAAAAAGATAAACTGTTTCAGAAATAAAAAGTCCATCTATGTCGGACTGTAGATCATTCCTTATAAGTTTAACCAGCTCCCTGTATGGCCGACAAAGTATCACTACATATAATTGTTGTCAAAGTGTCACAGAGGTACCGACTACTTAGTCTGTAGAATTGTAACATTTTGCTGCAATCTGAATAATAACCTGTTTCCGCTGTACCACGTGTGTGATGGTACATATTGTTGCTCGTTTGTGAGTGAAATGTCGGATAGATAAGTATACAAGTAATAAAGTAAAGAGAAAATATTTGGATCAGAAAATTACCCAGGATCGGTTGATTTTATTTTGGAATACCAACAAAGGGAATTACATGTATGGTTTAAACTGATATATCAGCCTATTCTTTTTTTTTTCATTATAAGTATTTGGAGATTGAAAACGTAGGTAACATGTTTTGAAATTGAAAGCTAAAATAACAAAGTATGTCTTCGTATGTTTGTATGAATAATCAATTGTCACCAAGAAACTAAAAAAAAAAAAACTAACATTAACATCTTTTAAAGCAAGTTTTCAAAGAGCTATAGTTCAATATACTATACAGTCATTAAATTGTAAGAACTTTTAGTCGAATCTTTATTCATTTGAAAACTTTTTAACTCCAAGGTAAAATATGGTAAATGGAAAGATTAATTATTTTTTATCTCACAATTAAATTAGAAATATGAGGTATATATAAAAATAATATATTTTTTAATTCCTTCAATACTTTATGCAGTCATGCTTGAATAGAAAAAAGTCTAGACCATGTATATTTTAATGATTTTTTTAAATACATATACTGATATATTGTAAACTAATTCTTTTTCGTATTTTTGATTATGGGAAGGAATTACGGCTATTATATAGCAAATTAAATTCAGGGTTAACTACGCTATATCCGAGTATTTGCACAACTGATATCAGTGACGCAAATTTGAAGAAAGTCTGAATGACAGGCTACAATGGGTGCATTGTAAATATGTGCTAATTGCAAGTTGCTAAAAATTTTCATATGGCTTGGGGGTAAGACTGCCTAGAGTAGGGTGGAGTTGAGTAATGAGATAGAGTCTGTTCTGTTACGGTACAGAAATTCAAATCTCTTACATATACATGTATTATACATATTCCCTCATTTCACATTTGATTTGTTAAAAATGATAGGAAAAAGACAAGCAAAATAGGCTGAGAAATATTAACCTTAATTCCTATCTAAAACAGAAAAAAGTAGCATAAAGTGTTTTTAGCTTAAATTAATTCCATACAGGTGAATTGCAAACTGCACTGAGAAACTAAATTTTACAGGCACGCATTTATGTATTTTCAGTTCATTTTTTTATGTTCAAAAGTATAGATTTTTAACAAGACAAATTTGGACATAAATGAGAAGAAATATGATCCCAAATGGAACAGTTAGAATTGCTGTCAAAATTAGACATTTTTATAACTTCTATACACCACCAAATGTACCTTAAATCTTTTGGCATTTTCTCAGGAGAAATGTTATCTTTCATTAACACAACAATAGATTGTTCTTTGTGGTTATGAAAAGCATGAGTAACTGTCATTTGAACAGCGTAAGACTCCCATCCACTCTCCAAGAATTCTTCAGTGATAACAAACATTACCTTTCGACTGTTGTCAATGCACCTTAGCATTTCCTTTGCTTTAGAAAGACCGGGAAGAAAATCCTTCTCTGGTAAACTTACACGAATTCCTTGTCTCGTTAATTTTTTGTACAATATATTAGTCACCCATTCATAGTCGTGTTCAGAATGCGACAAGAACACATCGAACTCATAAACGCTATTTAGTCTCTTTCTCATGACACCCTTCCATCTGTTCCGCAGTTGTATGATCACGTAATCTACGTGAACCCGATATCTTTTCACTGCTCCCGCTGAAATCAATATCACCACGAGGACAAAAAGGACAAAAGATGAATATATCAGCCATTCCTTGGATTGGCAATTTAGTTCAAGAGTTCTGAATGTAGCATCCTGAAAAAGGCTTGACAAAGTTTGTTTGTTATCAACGCACTTTGTAATTTTCAGATCTTTAATGATCATTTGGTTATTTTTCATCCACTTCAACGAGAATAATTCTGAGCATGCACAACTAATTGGATTTCCTTCGATAAATATTTTCACGTTCTGTAGCTGATTTATGATGGCAATATCCGATGATTGAAATGACGAGATCCTGTTGTAACGAAGTGACAAATTAGAAAGGTTCTTCAACATTGATAGTGTAAATGGAATGGAGGAGAACAAATTTTTGTCGAGACTGACAGTGTGCAGCGATTTGCTTTGGTCACGGAATAGATAAGATGGTAAGAATTTTAAAGAATTCATACTTAAATCTAACGTTTTGAGTTTTGAAAGGTTGGAGAATAAATACTGGCCTTCAAAATATTTCCCAAACTCAAGCTGAACATTTGACGCTGTGATAGATTTCAGGTTAATTGAGAATTTGAACAGTTTCGTATGCATTTTGTTGCACTGATTACCTGTAATATCTATAATTTCTAATTTTGGGGTATGTAGGGGGGTCAAAGCATTGCAAGGAAAGTTTGTATTTCTGAAATAGAGTTGTTCCAGATTGCTTCCAATAAATGTTAACTCTGTTTTCATAACAGTCACGCTGTGAATGTAATTATTTGAATAATCCAAGACTCGCAAACTGTTTGAAATTCTTATAGTAAACTTTGAAGTGCCTAAAGATGAAAATTCAGATAATGAAAATGGAGCCTGATTTGAATTGATTGTTTGGGCTCTTATATCTTCTAGTTTTGGATAATTACTTAATAAATGAAAACCAATTTTAGCATCAATTGCAGTTATATGGTTATACGATACATCTAATCCTTCGATGCATTTTCCGAGTCGAGTATAGTAAGGATCAATGGAGACCTTCTTTATTCCGTTATGACTAATGTTAACTGATTTTGCACAAATGTTAAATAAATATTCACTATTCCACTCAGAAAGTATGACATTGCTGCCTGGGAATGTTTTCATGTTGTTCTGCAGATGAAGATACTCTAATGATCTGTTTTGAAGGCATTTTAAGGCTCGCAAAGCAGGAACTACATCACACTTGCCTGCAATGTTCATTTTAACTCCTTTTAAGAATGGAAATGAACAAAATAAATCCTCAGTTATGTCGCAATATACATAGTTTCTAAACGACATGTTTATGTAGTATATTGGCGATTCAGAGAGTCCATGAAATGAGACATTTGTTAAATGGAAAGAAGATCCTATTGTGTTAAATTCAACTTCACTCAAGTTTTTTAAATTGGTAAATGGCTTATTAAATTGAAATTCAGAAAATACATCAATTAAGAGACTCTGTAAAGCGATCAAGCGAGTTATTTCCTTTTCGGGATATCCGCCAAATTGAAACTTATTATTGTTCAAATTTAAATATTTTATATTTTCAGATTCAGCAAAGGCGCCTTCTTCAAAGGAAGCTTTCTTCAGTCTACAATTGCTTATATCCAGAGCACAAAGATTTTGAAATTGTGAAAAGGCCCGGCTATTGATAAGTTTTAAATGGTTTCCCTGTAAGGATATGGATTTGACTTTAAATGAGATATGTTGCGGTACGTCAATGAACGTTTCAGTAGATATCACACTGAAGTTGTTATAAGATAAATCTATGGCAAGGTTTCCGATGGCTGTTGGGAAGCTGTTTGGAAATGTGTTGATCTTTAGACCGCTGCAATTTAATAAACTTCCAACATTTCCACATTTATCGATAAATTCTGTAATCCTGCAGTTGTTTTGCTGCCCTGTGACAAAACCTGAAATGAAAATGGAATTGAATTATCTGTCAGTAGAGATTTTATATTTGGTAAATGTATCACATGATGGGGATTTCCAACTGCATGTCTTGAAGTGCGTAACACTTGGGTTACCAATCTTTTATCCACAACTTTTTCTATACCACTGAATAAATTTAAATGAGAATTTTACACCGAATCTTTCCAACTTAGTGCGACTGTGGCCTATTTTGGTTTTTGTTTTGATTGGAGAAATATGTGAAAATGTGAATACCGTATTTCTTTTATATAATGGGAGTTTAATACTTTTTACTGTAATATTACATGTGTCAGCTTAATAAATCTATAAAGGCCTACTGCAAAGAAAGTCTTGTCAAAGAACAGTGCGTTCTATGATTTTATGTGAATAAATGATTACTTTCTGATATTTTGAAAAGAGGAGGTGACGAAGCACTGTGAAGAAGTGTTTTAAACATTGACTGTGACTTCGTATCAAAGTATCCATGACTCCATAAAGGGATCTCCAGGCTTGGAATGCCTTGTACAAACTCCAAGTGGTTACCATAGCTGAAGTTATAATCCGATTACACGCACTGAACACTTTCTTCCCTTCGATAGCGCTTGCCCTACAAGATGGCGCGCGCGCACAATGCATAATGGGTCAAACCTAGTACCGTATATACTCGCCTTTAAGTCGGTCCGCCTATACGTTGGTTGAGTTTAATAAGCTTTCAGATCAGATGGACTGATCTCATATAAAACCATACTTTTGATAGCTCGCCTATAAGTCGGATAATGAGTTTTAGACCAGAGATTAACTCCAAAAAAACCGACTTATAGGCGAGTATATACGGTAATTGAATATCATCGAAACCTTGTGATAGAGAAAACAATTTTTCATGGAGTACCGTATAACGGGTAATTTTTACTGGTGTGAATTTTTACGAATTTCGGTTGAAATAGGGTGTTTTAATTTTTTACGCGTTATATATTAACTAATTGAGCATGTCCGTTAAATTAAAAATCATCGGAAGTGAAATTCTAGATCAATGATTTAGCTTTTTGAATGCATTAACATACAAATACATATTTAAAATGTGTCTAGACAACCCGATGTAAAAAGAAAAACGTGTTCCCGTGATAACAAGAGACGATTCAATAAATGATATGTTTATTCATCTAAATACCTTTATATATCGCATGCCCTGAATTTATTCCTGTTTTCACTTAATGCACATGTCTACGCATCATTATTGTTGGCACCACGTGCCCGTCTTCATTTTAATGAAAACAAAGTGAGACAACTCAAACCATCATGTGATTAAGTTGACAGAATTACAGAAGGAGACGGATTACCGTATATTAAATAAAAATGTCGAAGTTTTTACTGCATGCAAATAAAAAAAAGAAAGGGTCAAAGTTTTGAAAAACGGATATATTTTGAAGACTTCAGTCTGTAATAATTATAATAAGCCATTATCAGAAATCATGTGTCCCGTAAGAGGAACCAGGTAATTGACGATGTTTGTATTATTTGTGTATTAATTAAGATTTACTTGTTTGATCCTTAATGATAATCAATTAAAAAGTTCCCCCAATACCAATGGTTGTCAATACTAATTATATAGCCTCCAGATACCTTGCTTAATGGCAGTGATAACACTGAAATATTCTCATAAACGATAAAACGATGTTCAAAATTTAGGCAAGATTATATTTTTTACTTCTGTGAAATTTTACGCGTTTAAATTTTACGGATTTATAAAACTCGTTAAAAAATAAGTAAAAATTAGCAGCACGTAAACAATACCCGTTATACGGTATTACTTTCTATAATGCTCTTTGTTTCATAAAGAATTTGTGCATATTTCACTGCTTTGATAAAAGAGAATAAAATATAATTGTCCAACATACTTACAGATTACATGAACAAAAATGGACTGAGCCACAAACATTATGATTCTATTTCTTCTGGTAGCCATCACATTTGCCAGTCACTAGTATCACTGGGCAATTCTTGGATAAAGTCACGGAACAGTCCCGATTACAGGAAATCGCTCTCGCGGTGTTTATCAGTGAAATTAGATGTTAAGAATTATATCTTGAGACCAAAAGCTGGTCGAAAATAGACAGAGCCAAATGCAGCGAACATAAATAAGTCTACTTTGTATTCTTTTTCTGTGTTTGTATCTTTTCCTACCTCCTCTCTACAATGTATGTTTGTACGTTTAAGATATTAAAATCATTGTCATTGTACAGCATGTCTTAGTTTAATCAATCAAGCGGAAATTAAAATTTTCATGAAGTGTTTGTGACAAATTTAAAAGTGTTAAAGGAAGCAAAACATCCACAAAGTTATTTATCATTTTACTATACTTGGGATCAGTTACTTGAAAATGTGATTAAGCACATTTGTTAAAATCAATGTTATTATAATTGAAAGTAATTGACAATATTATCAATACACTTGAAAATATCTGATGACTTTAAATTATTTTGAAAAATGTCATTAAATTCATACTAATAATTTAAGTTTAATTTTTAAAAAAATTAAAAACATATATACATAAGTAGTTAGCAGCAGCATTATTATTATATACTTAATCTTTCCAATTGCCCTGGGCAGTGTGTTATGCTGCATAACATTACTAAGCATTTAATTATTTGATAAACACAAGCTTATGTCAAAGTGCACTATTGTGCATCATTATATAACATGTTTTAAAAATATTTAACTAGAAAATAAAGTATTTGAAATATATTTGAAAAATACATGACATTTTTTGGAATGTGCTCTAATTTAAATACATTCAGTCGCTTGTTATTGAAAGCAAACTACTTTTAATTACTTTGAAGAAATATATTTCATTCCAGTAAATTATAATTACTTATTTCAATTACCCCATCCCTTCACCTTAGTCTCCACGGCTATGCTTATTTATTATGATGTATGTCAAGGAGGATATGGAAATAACGAACAATATTCAATCTCAAAGTCCACAAAACAATATAAAATAAGAGCAGAGCAAACACGGACCCCCAAACATCAGAGGAGCGATCAGGTGCCATGGAGGAGTGAGCATCCCCTGCCGACCGGTCACACCCGCTGTGTGCTCCTTAAGCTTGTCATGATCAGGAAATAACGGAAAAAATCCTTCGTCAATTCAGTGTATCAAGTTGTTTTCTTTGACTTTTCTGAGCTTAAACAACCTAAGGATTTTATACGAATAATGATGTAAAAGATGCCATTAAATTTTAACCAGTTTTAATCCTTTCCTTTTGGTAGAAGGTATAGCTCTTCAATTGAACAAATTTGAATCCTCTTTACTCACCAAGGATGCTTGTTGGCCGAATTTATCTAAGTGTGGGAAATGTACAAAGTTTACGACAATGACAGACTACAGACAAATTTTAATCAGAAATTTGCGACCACAAATTGAAAACAGAGTTGATTTTGAGACCCCCCCCCCCAGAAATCGATGAGTGTTTCTTGTTATTTCGATGAAATATTTTGTCAAATACATATGAAGTGTTTGTTAATTATACAAATAGTACAAGCAGTATAATTCCTTATTAAATGTTAACGCGGTTATGTCAAAGAAGCAAATTAATCAATTCTCAGGAAATTTAGACTCCCTTAGGAAAATAAGTTTGATAATTTACCAAAACCGCTAATAAATGTAAACTATTTATATAAAAGTGTTGTTTTTTGCATGCACTATGTCTAATTAAATAAATAGAAGTCAGGGTTTGACACATGGTGCACGAGCCGGAGACGCATGTTGCATAAAAAAAACAGTAATATAAATAAATAATCACGAATGAATAATGAATTTTTTAAAAGTCCAATCCAAATCAATTTTTGTTCTATATGTAGTTGTACATGAATAGATATTAAAGTCACAGTGTATCATTGAGGGAGTCAGAAAGAATTTATTTCCTTAGGTCTATTCAAAGGATGATCTAAGGAAGTTTTGATTATAAGGAATAAAACTTAAATGCTGACGGCATAGGCGTCGGAACCGGGGAGAGAGGGGGCTAGGTGGGGGACTTAGCCCCTACTTTTTATGCAAAGATGGATAATAGGCATTGTAAATTGGGGTTTACCTTACTTGTTGGTTTAGCCCCCACCCCCACCTTCAATTAGCCCCCTCCATTTTCAACTTGCAATATGCTTCAAAAGCCTATTGAGAGCATAGCTCAACAAACAGGCTGACATGAAAAATAGTTGCTGTACCCTCGTTTCAACGATTTTATTGGTATATCGCATTTCGTTGACCCGTGTGTCATAATAGTGTCATCGATCTCTGGAGATCGCGTCCACGCCCACTGACTTTCACTGGACTTCATCTTTTTCGTTGTCATTCACGCTTGTTTGTCAGGTCAGCCTCTGTTTCGTGTTTTAATGGCGAGCGCGCGAATAGAGTTCATTGTTCTTTCTCAAGATGAATGGAGAGCAGTTGATATCCTTGATTCATCAACTTATTAGTTAATAGCTTATCTCTTATAGAAAATACAAAAGAAATATAGAAACATACTCTCTTTCAAATCAACGGCGAGACATAAACTCTTTGTGCAGTTGATAATGGGTTATTGCGAAATATATAAAAGAAGTTGACAAAAGTAAGTTGAAGTTATTATTTAATAATTCTAATACGTCTATTAAATAGAAATACATGTAATACTTATATTACATTTTATTTGCGTGTTCGTCCCAGGGATGGGGTCAATTACATAGGAAAGTAATTAATTAAATTACAATTACTTTCCCAAAACCTTCAATTAAATTACCATTACCGTTACATGGATTTTGAAATGTAATTAATTAAATTACAATTACTTTGCAAATGTGATTAATTAAATTACAAATTACATTCAAGAATACACGTATAAAAGAAAATAGTCATGTATTTACCTGTCATGCCGAAGGTTCTTTTCACTGGGGTATTTATGAGAAAAATGCATACATGTAGATACTGACTAGTAGAAAGATTACAGATGGTTTTACCTTAATTCATGTGTTTAAATTTTAGAATAATTTTAGTTTTCCCATAAACAAGTGATAAATTTATGCTAAATGTACTTTTGATGCTTTAATTTGCCTTTATATTTCCTTATTTCAGCATCATAGGTTTACCCCAAAATGTGGGTATTTGATTTATTCTGTGCCAAACTACAATTTAAAGTCAAAGACTTAAGAGTATGTATAAAACACCAACAGACAAAGTCAAAGGTGTGAAAAATGTTTATTTAGGAATAAGTATATGACCCCAAAACACTAATTAGCACCTGTTAATAATAACTTCCAACACAAGCTGAAGATATAAAGGATTAGAAGCTATCGGACTTCTTATTTTCATATGGATTAATTATTTAAAAAATCAAAATATGAATTTTATTTGTAAACTTTACAAAGATTAATTTGATTTTAAGGTTGTGTTTTTTTTTAAATGAAAAGGGGCATTGTATTTAAACAACAAATGACATGAAAAGGGAAGTTCTTTTAAAAAGATTTCAATATTAAAATTTGTTGTCCAAAATATAAGTTATTAACCTTTCATAAATAATGCTTATGAAATTGAGGGAGAGGAGACTATTTTTCATTTATTTAAAACCAGTGTAATTGAATGTAATTGAAAAGTAATTGTGAATTACATGCCTTTTTGGAAAGTAATTAATTAAATTACCATTACTTGTAATTGAAAATTTGGTAAATTACACATTACTTTCAATTACATCGAAATTTGTAATTAATTACAGTCAATTACCATTACACATTACCATTACCCCATCCCTGGTTCGTCCAGTGTTGCTCAGTAAAAGCAGGGAATCGTTGTGTCAAAAATTTGGATTAAAGACTTATTTTAAACTTTGCATTTCTTTGTTAAGATATGGGTCATTTTTGAACTATGGTCAATTTTTAATGCATAGCACATTTAGAGAAAAGGGAGACCAGATTTTTTCTCTTTATATAATAGAAATACTGTGAAAATCATTAATTTTCGTGGTTTTTCAAGGTATGAAGAGACCCACGAATTCATGTCCACCACGAAATGCATTTTTCACATAAATTACCACTGAACAATTTTTCAACCACGAAATCTAATCCCCATTAACTAACATATTTTCCTCAAAGCACAAAAATTCGACCCCTCGCAAATATGTGATTTTACAGTACACCATTTTCTGGTACATTTTTCGTCGGCAAAAAATAACCCCCTGTTATTTTACTATGCGCGTCTTTTTTGTCTTTACACCGGCAAAATTTATGAACTTTGTTAAGCAAATTGTTATAAAATAATGCCAGTATCTTTACAATAATATAATCATTAAATCTCCAAAATATCGTTAACTTTAGACTTTTACCTTATCAGATATGGTATTAAGAAGGTACCAAAATATAATCAGCACTTAATTTAAGACGCTCCAAATACACAAGACTTTGGTTTTTATGGTCACCATGCTCGTACTGGGAAAATATATCGCTGTCCACCCATACTATTCCCAAGATTTGGCCATTTCTGACAAATGGAATGTTTTTATTACAAAAATCTAGTGCTAATTGTAACGGGGACCGTTACAGAAGTTCCCCAAACGCTCCCCAACTCCCTTTTGGTGCCATATTCCCTGTAAGCTTCATTAAATATGACATACTCTATGCATTTGAGATTTTAACAACGTTTACCCAAAAGTGTACCAAGTTCATTCAAATTTTAGCAGAAAAAAATATATAAAAAAAAGTACTCAACAGATCATTTATTGAATGATGGTACGTCAATGTTAGGGATAAAAACTGCAGAATATCAACTTTTGCACATTGTGATTGTGTTACACTTGCATGTATAATTTTATAAATTCTATTTGAAATGACTTCATAATCTATAGATGACTTATTCATTACCTATATTATCTAAAGGCCTAGGGTGTGCTGTTTTCATAACTTAAATGGGTGATGATCCTCAAGACTGCCACTTTTACTCATGCAGTATTAATTCCTGATGCTTTCTATATCTGTATTTGAGAATACTAAAGTTAATGTAATACATGCCATATGAACGCCGATTTTTGTGTGAGACAAAATGATTAAATTATTTGAAAACATGAAGTGTAATGAAAAAATAATACTTTCCACAAAATTTTACTAATGAAGTCGTTCGTTGTAATAACAAAACAATTAAGCAATATATGGAATTAAGAATTTAGTCATTTCATGAATATTGATGAAGGAAGTGCGTAAACAGTGGGCATATACTAG